CTTGGAGGCGTACTTCCCTGGATCAGGTGATTTTTTTCTCTCTCCATTCTTGCTTTTTCTTTCTCCTTTCTTTTCTTTGTTTTCTGTTTTCTTTTCTCTTCTCTTTTTAGCCTTATTGCTCTCTTTTATGGAATAATGAATTATTATATTATATATTCACAAATAACTCCTTTATGTATTTCATTTATTGCATTTTTCTATATTTTCCCCAATCTTCTCTTTTCTTCTACTCTCTTAATGTGAATTTGATGTAATTTTCCATGGCCGTTTGCTCTTCTTCATTGCTTTCGATTTCCTTCCATAGCCGCCTACAGGGAGCTGGTGTCTTGCTCAAATTGCCTCGACTACCAGTCAAGGAGACTAAAGGTCCGTTATGGAGCGACCAAGAAGATGAACACTGCGGTAAGTGCCTCACAAAAATCAATTGATAAAAGATTGGATTTTATTTTAGAGAATTAGAGTTGCCATTTGATTATGTGTTCTTAAAATTCATCTAATAGAATACTTTTTTTCTATCTTGTTATACAGTCCTTTCCTTTTTACGTTAGGAAGGACTAAAAATTCCCTCTAGAATCTCTGCTTTTACTACCTTGTATGTCACCGCGCTGCAATATAAGTGAAATGTGAAGTCCTTCCCATTCCAGTGATAGGTCATTTCCATGATCTTGGTTGGAATTACTCATAAAAATAGAGTATAACAGAAGGCGTCTGTATTAAGCCCTCTCTTTTGAATTTTTAATCCTGCAGACCTGTCAGTCTTTTCAAATGTCATTCACTTGATCTAATAATATTCTTTTAAAGTTTTTTTTTTTATTAATCCAAAAGCTCATCAGTTTTCTCACCATTTCCCCCCCCCCCCCCCCCCCCCCAAAAGGTTGAGTATGTGCACATGCTGAATGCCACCATGTGCGCAACCACGAGAGTGATTTGTGCCTTGTTAGAGAACTACCAGACTGAGGATGGCATTGTTGTCCCAGATGCCATTAAGCAGTATATGCCAGAAGGTGAGGAAGTGCAACTAGTTTTTAATGTCTCCAGTATTTACTTCTATTTGTTGTGTCTAAGATGGATGCCTCCCCTCTGTGAAAGATACCAGATTTATGTACTTGGTCAGAGGGATATAATTGTTTTTGGTTTGTGAATGGTTTTAGTTTGGTGTATTTCATTACCCTTTAATATTTACCTTTATTACCTTTTCGATGATTATAGTAGTATTAGATTTAACTTCTTAAGTTGGATAAATAAAGATGTCATGAATACCTATAAAATGTAGAAAGATGAAATATTAAGCACACATTCAAAAATATGAATTAAACGATGTTGAATGTGATTGTACCAGAAACACTTGCCCTTCATTTTGAGATTAGTGAAAAAAAAGTGTATTTGAATTTTAACCCATTGGTGTCAGGTACATGTACTGTCCTCTGTTGATTTGTTTTGTGAATTTTGTTAACACATACATTGCTCCAGAAGTGCTTAGTCGTTAAGAAGTCAGTTAGTGGGCCTAACTGACCTACCCTAATTTTTGATGAAAAGTTATTCAAAAATTAGATAGGACAAGTCATGTACTCTTTGCTATCCTGTTTATCAATGGATTAAGATGGAAAGCATGTATATTAGGACAAAGGTAAATGTTACTTCTATATTTAAGAATAGATGTGTATTTTAAGAGTAAATGTAAGTTCAACTGAGAGGAAAAGATTTACAAATAGTTTTCTTTCTACTTCCACAGCCTACAAAGAATTCATTCCCTTCAAGTATCCAGCACCAATTGACGAGGAAGCAGCGAAGAAGAAAAAGAAGGGGGGAGGAAAGAACAAGCAGGAAGAGTGATATTAAACGGAGGCGGAAAGAACGTCAATAAAAGAACGCTTACCTTAATTGATGCTTCACTGATGTAAAGAATTGTATTGATGATAACGATAAATTAAATTTTTCTCCAGCTTTATTTATTAGATGATGAAAAAAAAAGGTTCTCAAAAGGGTAAGCTTCATTTAATCACAACATAAATACTATTTTTTAATTTATATTTATGGATGATTTAGTATAGTGGTGAGAATGTTATCTTGGGCCATTATCAAAGCATGTTTGGTATAAAGTAATTTTGAAATAAACTGTTACAATAATTAAATGTTTCCTTTTACAGAAATATATTTATTGCATATATATTTCTGTCCTTTATACCCAAAAGGAGAGTAAAGGTAGAGAATTACACAGAATAAGAAAACTGGTTATTTATGACATGGATAACTTTTGGACGCCATTTTGGACAACTGCCATCGAATGTGCTCGTACTTTTATCCTGGAAGAGTTATAACTATATTGAAAGAGCATTTCTTACGCATTATTCATACTGGTATCTTTCCTTGTTAAATTGAATCTGATATTTGCATCTTGATAATCTTACTGCTGTTGATATTTTGAATATCAGTGCAAGTATGATTTTTACTGATGCACATATCTCAAAATACAATAAATAAATAGCCTGATAGAGATAGA